AACAAATAGGATATATGATTTATCCTTAATAAGATAAGATGTCTTCCATTACAGTTATATTATACATCAATCTCAAATTGAAGGCCTAAATTAGTAATACAAATATGTTATATCTAAAAATTTAAAGTACAATATAACCCGTATATATCTATTAGTTTGAAATATTAGCTTTACGTAATATAAATTACTAAATGGGTAATATGATACGTGACTTACGATTGAATTGAGCATTGAAAATGCTGTAAATTAAAAATATTTTTAATATAAAATAAAATTATGAAGAAATTTTCAACTAAGTAAGCTAAAATTGGAAGAATATAATTATTTCTAAAAAAATGCGTTTATGATCTCATCATCTAGAAATAACATTACTTTTATATTTTTGGCATTATATGATAAATGTATGAATATTAATATTGTACAAATAATTTTACTTATTTATGTTTATTGTAAAAGCGGTCGCAACGCGTTGATCTTCAATTTACAAAATGTAAAATCCTAGGGTAATACAAAATGAATTGCAAAATGTTTGTTAACACCCTGTTTTTTTCTCGGAAACACTATTTAACATTTTTTTTAAGTTCCACATGAAACCGAATAATAATATCTAGCTACTATATTAGTCAACAAAGTGGTAATGGGCATCGTACTTATGTCTCCAAAAGATTGCCTTGCGGATTTGCCATCTGTTTTAAAATCAGTAACAATCCAGTGGAGATATTGGTAATCGACTGCACAAACCTATTTATTTATTATCTATTATTAAGTTTACGTAATACTTTGAGTATTTCAGAAATACTTTTGAGTAAATTCTAATCTACCTTTGTCTCTTAATAGACAGTATTTTTGGTTCACCTTAATCGTTCAATTTTTGTCGGTTTAAAATTAATGAAAAATATAAAATATTAGTTCTGCAACGTATGGTGAAATGGCCAAGTAAGTATACATATATAAGTGCGGGTTAAATTGTTTGGTTACTTTGCAACTTTGGTTTTATGGGTCATTCCAAATGATTCTGATGAAATGACATAGCGATCATAGTACATTTCTAGCCAGCAGAATTTTTTCTAGTTATATTTCAATATTAACTTATAAGAAACTCAGGTTTACTCGACTGGGATTTTGATATAACTTCGTATGGTAATAGTGTTGATGGTCAAAACAAACCACATAATTGCGCTTACATTACATTATTGTCTACGTGCGCTTACAGTGCCTTCTATCCAGATGTCAGGATGACTCTGTGGTTAAGGCGATATCTAACTTTTATGCCAAAGTTTGCACGTTCGAATCACGCCAGAGTATTCAATTTTTTTCTTATATGCCTATAATATTTAAGGGAGACGTTTGGATTTTAAACTCCAAATTCATGCAAAATTTCATCTAATACCAAAACGTAAACCTGATTTTTTCACAAATTGATGTTGCATTTACCATATGAAAAAAAGTTTATTGAAAATTTCGCTGGTTTGAAATTCACTTTTGAGCTACGGTTTTTTCGGCATAGTTTTATAGAATGACTCATAGAAACAGAATTTTGTCGCGGTGTACCTTTTCGACTTCATACAATTTGACAAGCCCATATATACGTTCGTTTGTATATACTGTATAGGTGATTTCAATTTGGAAACAATAATTTAGGGAATATTTAAAAAAAAATAGGTTTAAAAAATCCGCGAGATGACAGGAGAGTCATCTGACAGAGGAAATACTATATATATATATATAATATAATTATAATTATAATCATTACCAGTTCGCCAAATGGATCCTTTCGTTGATATAGTGGACATCCAAATTAGGTAGCCTTGATTGTATATTTTGTAATTGCTTTTTTAGTAGGTTGCTAAAACTCTCCAGATAATAAAAACTATTTCAAAATATCATGGCGTTAATGATTTAATGATACAAATAACAATATTCATGATACTAACAACATATGAAAAAAGACGCGTATAATGTAAATTATATTTTTAAAATGGTGCAAAAAAGTCATTTCAAGGCTATTAGCAAAGCGATCACTTTTTCAAGCCATTTCCAAAATATGCAAATTTGTATTTAAAAATATGCACTTCATTCAATAGTGAAAATTCGAATATTGACATAAACCTACCTCGATGTTATTTCACGACATCGTTCACCTGCAATGACGATGCACGTACGATTTATTTTGTACCAACATGATGGATTCAAAATTACATTATAGCAATGTTACCAATTATTGCAAAAAAAATACTAACTGTACCTTATGGTAATACCTAAAAGAAGTTTTACCAATTTCGCACGCAACATATCCGGCTGAAGACATACTCCATTGTAGATGTTCATAATAGCCACGTCAACTAAAAGTGTGAATAATATTTTTTGTAGAATAAGTTCTAGTGTAATGTTTTAGTGCAGAATATAAAGTGTAAAAGTGTTCTATATTATTACCAAATAATAAGTGTTATGTAGGCGTTTCACGTCTTCAATGATTGTGAAAAATAATTACCATGTGTCAATTGAACAATTAAGGTAAGTCCCATAGTTACAAAATTTCCCTATGATTGTCGTAACAAACAACAAAATGATTTTTATTCCAATGGAATGACGATATGAGATGAAAATTTTGCAACAATGCCCTTTGCTTCCTAACAATTATTAAAATGCAACATTATTATCATAATATACAAAGAATGAGCTCTTATATTAGATTGTCTCTGTAGACAAAACTAAATATGCGTTTATACAATATTTACTGATTATTTATGGTCGATAGAATATTCCTGTTCTTCTGAGCGTGAGTTGATGTAAAAATTGACTACTATACAGCGTGTACACAGATTTGGCAATGTCATATTAAATGCATCGTTACATGATGTAAAATGCAGCTAGATATTTATAACAATTTGATATTTTTGATAATGTTTCGATTAACTTTATCGTGACATTTATATACGATATGGTCATTTGAAAAATAACAAAAATTATATAATCTTCTGAAGGCTTCTGAACACATGACCTTGGGTTACCAGACAAATGCACCAAATATTCATGTGGCTCTCAATCTAATATTTCTTAATTGAATTGAATTAAATTAGCTGGTAATGATTAAGACGTGAATAATTTTGCAACCATTAGTTATATAACATATTAAACCTTTTGTGATATACAAATACAAATACTCCACTTTTTATTATCCAAATATAAGATGTATATATTGGCATATGCTTATTATGTTGAAAAAGTCTTTCAATATTTTTTGAATTTGTTGATTATTTTGATCAAATGTGATCTTAAATATAATAAAAAAAATCTTATATAGAATCCATTAAATTTTGCAGGAAAATAGCCACATTTGGAATAGAATTTCATATTCAAATTTAGATATTTCATAAATTATTTAAATTTATTTCAAAATCATTGTTTTTAATTTTAATCATCGCAACTACAAATTGTATTGCATTCTTGCGTCTATTCAATATGATTTTAATGAACAATCTTTAAATTTATATTTGAATTTATAGAAATTATTTTTAGAATTTTTTCATATATACTCAAAGACAACTAAACGATAAACAAATATTTTTACCAGAACTGCATTTGCTTATGCGATATTACATAATATATAAAAAATAATACAAATGTGATATTATGTTTACTAGTACCCAAATACAAAATTCCATTTTGGCTATTTTCTTTTGTCTGGTAAATTAACAAAAATATTTTATATGATAACTAAATTTTTAAATATATAAATAAAAATATTCAGATTAATTTTTGACTGAACAAAACTAATACAAAATTATCCATTATTATTGATTACGTGTACTCCCTGGTAGTCTAGTTCAGAAGCCTTTAAATTGATACTGTGATTTTTTTTATTATAAACACTTATAAATTACGTGTACCATGCATATACATTCATATAACTTCTATTAAACATGATGGTAAAATGTATTATTCTGGCATATTATTATATATATGTTATGATATATTTTAACAGTACAGTTATGTCGATGTCATAGAAAACTTATAAACAGAGGTAGCTCTAAGTACATTTACTATGATCAGCTTTTTGAATCGAAGCTATAATACATTTTCCTCGTGCATGTAAATATATATGCACGTTTGGAATACAATTAATACATTTCGTTTGGTGCAACAGTTAACTAAAAATTAATAATACTGGGTTTTAACATTATAACCTGTGTGGTGTCCGTATAAATCTAGATACTAGATACTAGGTACCATGTCAAAAGTCACGAAACGTTTTGTTAATGGCGTCAATTTAGTAGTACACTTTGTTTAAAATTGGTGGTAACAAATTTATATTTTTTATTTCTGTGAACCAGTTGCTGTATCATGCTCTTCTTGAGAATATCGCTTACTTGGTAAATACTGCAATAGATATACTTCATATATGTACACAAATCGAAATAACAGAAAATAACACTATTTATTTATCATATCCGCGGTTGGCACTTTTTGTTTTAATTTTCACTAACTCACAAGTTCATTATCATAATATTCCATCTTGATCACACGATTGTTAACGAACGTTTTCGCTCTGAATTTATTTACAACAATAAAATTTACTTAGTTTAGTGTTTTAACACGGTTCCTCCATCAGGCAGAGTCGATCAGTTCATCAATTGCATGAAGTACTCTAGCCATGTTGGAGCCGTATCTCATAGTTCCCCTGTGCCCATTTTAAGCAGTTCAAGTTTCTTCTTTGCAATTTTTGAATACAAAATGTCTATAGGTTGTGTCGTGTCGTACAAAGAGGGTGCCTGTAAAATGATAAGCGCCGTTCCGCCTATACAAGCCAACGTGAAAATCCACAGGAACAGACGGTCCAGCACCATCGCGACGTACTTCCAGTCCTCTTCCACCTGAAAAATAAGAATGGATTTTGATAATTTCAATTTTTAAACCGACACAATATATTTGAATATACGTAAAACTCATACAAATTCATTTTATGTAATATATGATCCAAGGTTACCAATGAGAAAACCCAATATAGCAATAACGACATAGTTCCTAATGTTATGTAAGAAAAGAAATCAATACTGTAATTACTGAAAATATTATAAAAATAATTTTTATCATTCTAATTTAAATACAAATCATTACTAGTATTATGATCAGATATTAACTTTCCATAGGCTAAGTTATAGTAATCGCAAAAAATTCGAAAATGAAAATTTTTGCAGTTCTTCACGTTTTGAAGGTTTCTGAACTTTTTGGCATTCCTTCAGAATATGTGTGTGTATGCTTGGATATAATTTTTTGTCCACGATTTTGGGCGCACGAATCGACCGATTTGAATGATTCAAAAAACATTCGATACTTATTGAGGAAAAGACATGCTGATTAGTTAGTTTTGACGTGCTGATTAGTTAGTTCTGGTGGTGACAGTGCCAAAACCGATAATTCAGTTTTTGGCACATTTCATTTTACTTCATTGACCAAATGAAGAATTGATGACATTTTTCGTAAGGCAGTCTAGCGGTTTTGAGCTAGACTGCTTTGAATATTTATTTAAGTTCCAGCAATTTGCCTCATGGCACGATGCCATGTACCACTAATTTTCTGTTTGAAAACCAACACGTTTTTTATACGCATATCTACAGTCAAACCTCAGATAACGCGGTGAGGGCGCGCCGTGTAATATGAGAAATTCGGACTTAACGACCAATCCAGGCTAATTTGTACCGCGTTCTATGGAAACTTGCTACCGAGTTGTATGAAAACCGTGCTATGAGAAAATTAGAATTAGTACAAATCGCAGCGTTTGTATCGCGTTATATAGAAACTAATAAAACAGGATAAATAAGGTCATATAAGGATATAATTAAGATGACTATATTTATAATATCAAAAATAAGATAAGATTCTAGTATTAATTTCAAATCGTCACTTTTTAAATAAGGTATAATTTTTCAGAATTATTGCCTTTTAGTAAAAACCTTATCATTCGATTATATGTTATATTAATTCGGCAATTTTCTCATTCACAATCTATGGTTTCATCTAAGCATACTCGTTGGATATATCATTTTCAGATATTTAATGGAAGTTGCAATTTTATTGTCAATTAAGTAATTCAATATAATTCAATTCAATTCAATTTAAACTAATACATTTTGAGAATTCGAGATATAAGATGAAATTTCGGGACCTTTCCGACCAAACAATGAATAGTCACATTCATTGTTCAATTTTCAATTCAATTCAATTTTCTTCAATTGAAGGGTTTAAATACGGTTAAAATAAACGAAGGAATTAAAAACTAAACTAAAAAAGGTTTTCCAACAAATAATCAAGCAAAATTTGTATTGAAATACTAAGGGACTGATCTTTCTGATCACGAAATCGGGTTCGATATAAATTCGTTATGATTAATCAGCTACGATATAACGTGGCACGTGTATTATTGAACTACTATAATAAACATAAGAGTCGATAGCAAAAATTATATCAATAATTTCCACATTAATATCAGAACCATCTTATAGGAGGTCTGTATTATCGGAGGGCTGTTGCAATTTTAGGTCCACGTAGTATAGAACCGCATTGAATACCTTGAGTACCGTGTTATTAGAGGGTTGATTATATTCAGTGTGTTTTATCCACGGAAGAATATTCAAATTGGGACTCGTAGCCAATTCTCCGATTAAATAGATTATAACACGGCGTAGTTATGGCAACGTAATCATAGCGATGTGTGTATAAAAATGACATTTAATTTAATTATAACTTAAATATGATAATATATTCAATAATAATAATAATCATAAATTCTATATTAATATAATAGAACTATTTTATAAAAAAATCCATGCTTTTATTGAATACAAATCTCCTCAGAATAACTTATATAATAATATTTCAATTTTTATTTACTTACACTTTCAAATTTATCCTTGTTCTTGACATGTTGAGCTATGAACCTCGAACCCTCGATGGTTTTTTCCATTTCCCTCACAATGGGTTTATCGAAAACCGGGCTCTCTCTGTCCAAACACTGGTCATCGTCCATAGGACCATTACTTTCACCAGACGTCGCTCCATCCAGGTTGACCGCATCTGCAAACATTTCGTCTTCTACGCAGCCTAACCTGTGTAAGGGAGATCCTCCGCTTACGACACCTGCCCCATCTGCACGACCTGTGGGTACTTGGGAATTTTGGATGTATCGCAGGGGAGGCAAACCTGAAATAGAATAATATGGTTTCGTATGAGAAAATATAAAAAAATTTTAAAACAATATTTCATTTTTTAATCATTTTTTTTTCATTTTTCTTAATTTCGGTCTGAAAGATCGACTAAAAGTGATTAAATAATTCATATGTAGGAATTAAGGAGCCAAAAATTTGAGATCAACAAATGATCATGATATTTTATGAAATTTTATAATCACAAAATTTAATATATTTTTATACATGGAAATATTTATACATGTAACATTATTTTCTTTAAGGAGGAATTCTGGCCCAGAATTTAAAAAAATCAGTTTTTGGGTTTTGTGCACATTTTTAAAGTTTAACCATTCAAGAATATGTGCACAAGAGGTTTCAAATTTTTGTCGGAGATAAATCTGTTTGACCACGATAATCTTCTATTTCCTTCTTCTGCAAAACTTTAAAGGTGTTTTTCTCGGAACTGTCTTTTTCGGTCTTGAAACTTTTACAGACTTTTTTTTATAGACTTCTCTTCAATATATACCACATTTATACCTCTAATTCGATATTTACTATTCTTAATTTTCAAATCGAGAATTTCAAAAAAGGTTGCAAAAAATATTTATTTTTTTAGGCAGTCGCTAATTGTAATTTTTTTTGCATTGTTCATAGGATAGCGACATTTTCTAGATTAATAATTTATTTATATTTTTTCTCGGATTATTCGAAGGGCTAAAATCATAAGTTTGGTAAGATGCCAATTTTTTCTATTCTCGAAATATGAAATAATAACTTGTAAAAAAAGAAGAAAAATAGTGTTTTTCGAAAATTAATGTCTCTGAACCAGAATACCTCCTCAATACTCTTCTCGATTGAAATAATTAAAAATTATCTTTACAATTTTACACCGATTTCTAATTTTTTTGTTTCAAACATATCTAAAAATAACATACATTTTTGATATAATGAGAGATTTGAAAATAGTACAGTTCGATTTAATGTTGTATTGTGATCCCGTTTATAATCTCCAATTGATTTGACCGTACTTATTTTAAACTGTTATCTGAGGAAAAGCTAAAACTATTTTCAAGATAATAGAAAGTAGTAAATGTTATTTCATTAGCAAAATTTCACATTAAATTAAGTATATTATTTCCACATTTCGGGAAGTTCATGCAACTTGCCTTGAGGAAAAATACCTGTTACAACTACTTATTTTATCCTGTCATATACTCAACATTTTTCAAACAACTTGACATTTCAGAAATAAGTTTCATTTATTTAAACATTTCAATTCGAATAGAAAATTTTCCTTGCATTACACGCATTACGAATATACTCGTCAAGACAAATATTATACCACTTCTCCATGATACGTTATAATAGTCAATCACACTTATCTGGTTAATTGTTAAATATGTAATAATAATAATTATTATTAAGTTAAAGCAAATAATCTATTAATTAATAAGATATTTCAATACATGAATGATAATGGAAGATTTTTATCTAACAGTTTAATTTAAAATTCAAATGATTTCAAATTAATGCAAAATATAATTGGTTATTCTAATCGTGGCACCATATTTTGCCGAATAGAATTTGACACCCTACTTTTTATGATATAGGAGTACAAGATATATAATACGCTGCTGAAATATCCAACATTTCCTTTAAGTGTATTATGCAAAACGATTCATGTTTTTAATATAGGGTATTGAGTTTCCACTTCTAAAAATATTGAATACCTTGTCGTATACATAGGCTGAGCGCCCCTTACACAATAACCTTGTTTTCATTATTGTGGGTCCTTTAAAAGCATATTAAATTGTTTGAATGGATAGGAAATTGGCATACAAATAATAATAATCTGTACATAACAGGTGCAAATACACACAATATATATATATATATATATATATATATATATATAAGGCAAAATAATTAAAGAAATACATCAAACAAAAATTGAAGAAACGTATAAAATCTATATTATTGTCGTTTGAAGGTATTGTCATTGTCATCTTGAGTGCAATTTAAATTGGGATTATTCCTAATTAACTTTTATTTTTTTTATCATTTTTGAAAAGCAATCAGAACTTCAGTCATATAGTGTGTAAAATTTTATTATTACAATTTCCGTAATAGAGCAAATATTCTATTGATGCAGCAATGACGGCAGAGGGCCATTTCCTCTTGGAAACATATTGTTTTGCCCTGAAAACATATCTGTATTATCAAATGAAAAAATACGTAACTACTTTTTTGTCGTCAGATTTTTAATTAACTAATGGCAATTCAGAATAACACAATTAGACTATTTCTTAAACCAAAAAAATCTTCAGATTAGATTTTGTAACGTGAGTGTGACATGTACGTACTTTATATGACATTATTATAAAAGTAGTAAAGATTTTATAATTTTATTTTTGCCTAGAAAATTTATTTTGACTCACATATTTCAATGCCAAATTTATTATAATTATTTTTAACATATATTTATATACCCAAATTGGTTATTCAAATCTAATTCCTACGGGTGATCATTTTTAAAAATAATCATATGTTATGAAATCGTATCGCTTTTGAGAAATTAATTTTCATAAAATTTATATATGCATTACATCTGTAGTAATATATATATATATATATATATATATATATATAATATATATATATATATATAGAATATATATATATATTCATTATATTTATATATATATATATATTTATATGTATATGTATATATATGTATATGTATTTATAATGGGATTTATATTGGATAGTACTGTTCTAGGGCAGGTCCATGAGCTGAGTTAAACGGGATTTTCCATTCTATTTCAAACAACAGTATCCGAAATGGGCTGTTTTCAATTGAAAACATGTAAATCTCAATTTTCAAGTAAAAATTGATATCATTGCTGCCGAAACGTATTGATATCAGTGCTGCCGAATGTTAGAGTAAGTTATGAAGAAATTCATGTTTTTGATGTAATTGTGCCCGAATGCTTATTTTGATCTTAAATAAAAATTTTACAAAAATATTGATATATTTTATAAAATAAGTATTTACATAATAATTATATAATTTAACTTTGAGCTCAAATAATTCTTAAGCCAATAGATTTTGCGAAAAATTATAAGAAATCTTTTTTATAGAGCGTCAAATTTTCAATAAAATATGCCACAATTTATTTTTTTATTATTTCCATGAGAAGCTTTGGTTGGTGTGCGATTATATTGAAGTTAATATTAAGAGCTAAAACTTGCTGATTTTTTTTATCAATTTGGAAGCATTTGAGCCCTTGCTAGCAAAGAAATTCAAAAATATCCATATTAAAAACCATCCTAATAAGTATGCATATTAGAATGGTGCTTGATATGGACATTTTCGAATTCCTACTCCCAAGGGCTCAAATGATTCCAAATTGATAAAAAAACAATTCACTGAAAGTTTTAGCTCTTAATATTAAGATAGTGCGCAATTCAATCAAACTTCGTATGGAAATAGCATGGAAAAAAATTTAAAAATTAAAAAAACATTTTTTTAGGTATAACTTAGCGACAAATGAATTAAAAGTGAAAATTTGTGTCATTTTTTATTGAAAATTCGGCTCCCTGCAAAATTTTTGAAAATGTTTTCATACTATTTCCATACAAACTTTGATTGAATTGCGCTCTATCTAAAGGACAATATTAAGAGCTAAAACTTTCAGAGAATTGTTTTTTTATCAATTTGGAACGATTTGAGCCCTTAAGAGCAAGGAAATTCAAAAATGTCTATATTAAGGACCACCCTAATATATAAAGTATTATTAAATGTTATATCCTACCTGGTATTTCGAACTCGTCCGCGCTGAACCTCTTCCCGCCATACGGCACGTACTTATCGATTTCTGATGGTACATGGAAGACATCCGTTAACACTTCCGACGGCCTATCATCCTGCGTGTCATCTTGCCCGTTGTCATCTTTTTTCGGCCTTTGCATACACAAAACTTTAGGCAGTAGCTCCACAAATAATCTATGCACCCACGGTGCCATTTTATGCGTAACAGGACTCCTAAAGTTTACATTTAACACTGCTATGGTCACCACTACAGAGAGCGTGACCAGCATCATAGTAAAGAGGAGATATTTTCCCAGCAAAGGTACCGTGAGGGACGTAGGAGGTATAATTTCGGCCAGCAGCAAAAAGAACACAGTCAGAGACAGCAGAATCGAAATACACAGAGAGATTTTTTCTCCGGAATCGCTCGGGAGGTAGAACACCAAAACGGACAAAAACGAAATTCCTACACATGGGATGATCAGATTGACCGTGTAGAACAGCGTCTTTCGTCGGAGAGTTATGTTGAAGATTATATCGGGATAGGGCTCCTCGCAACACGAATAGAATTTTTCATTTCTAACGGCCGGCACGCGCATTATGTCCCATTCCACACTGATGTAGTAATCCTGCAGATCGATCCCGACGTCTATGTTGTCCGAATCGGGCGTCTGTTGTAAGTGTCGCAGATCAATCTGTTGGATTAGAAAGAAAAACATTTTCAAAGTGAGAAATATTTTATGGTCTCAACTTTTTTATGATGCAAATTATTTGATTGTAGGTGTCTGTTTCACGACACATAAAATGTATTGATAAGCTAGAAATACTCTAACTAGTAATATAAAAGTTAATGATGTAGTATGATCTTGTCTATCACTGTTAAGCCAAATTAGAGAAACTTTTGGTTAAACAAATTTTATTTTTGATTTTGCTTGCTGTCTTTATTTCACTACACATAATACTTATTGATCAACCAGAAATACTATAACCATTAATAAAGAAGTTGGTGTAGTATTATGTAGTGCGTTAAGGCAAATTGATGAAACTTTCAATATTGCAAATTATAATTATTTGTAATCTGTAACATTGAAATAAATATTAATTTTAGAATTTCAGAAAATGGTAGAAAATTTTGTTTTATTAACTAAAAAAGTCGAAAATGAAAATTTTTGCATATCATTACGTTTCAAAGGTTTTTGAGCATTTTGGCATACCTTAAAAAAATGGTTGTGTGTTTTTGTATGTATGTTTTGATACAATTTTTCGTCCACGACTTTGGGTGCATTGATCAACTGATTTGAATGGTTAAAAACTTTGATTCTTAATTTATAGGTATTTCTGCTGATTAGTTTCTAGAAAAGGCAGGTCTAGCCACATGGGGATACGGAGCATAATGATTCAGAATTTTTTCAGCTTATGTTGACAAAACGATTACTTTTGGGAATTTTTTTGAATATCCAAAACATTTGGATTTTAATTATAATTCTAGCCAAAGTTTTAAAGCTTACTTCTATACTTCTATACTATTTTATCTTTGATCTTTTTTTCAGTTACCATATAAATTACAATTTGTCTCCAGAAGATTCAGTAGTTAGATTGTAATTAGATATATACTTTTAAAAGGCTACCTAGTAATAAACTTTTTAATTATGAAATTTGGTATTTTTAAAAACATTTTGAATCTTACAGTTTTACTAGTTATCTATTTAAGTACAAATGTAAAAATTATTATATAATAAATAAATGCATTGAATGAAAACTGAACGTCGACACAAAGCAATCAGTGCTTACAAATTTCATTTCTTAGTTTTTTTAAAACCTTGACATTTTTAACGATTTTAAAAAACTGAACTTCTAAATTTTTGTTCTAAACTTTTTCGAATATTAGATCAAATACTTTGTGCAGTGAATAGTGTCCGTTTTTTTTTCAAATAATTTCTTAAATTTATTTGCTTTGCAATAAATTCTTAATTTATATGTGAACGTGATAGGTATTGTTTACATGCATATACGGTGTACCAGAAATCAACGTCAAGCCAAAATGGGGTAATAGTTTTCATAGTAACTATCATAAAAACTTAAAAAAAAATCCAGTATAGTTTGGAAATGCAGCTTAGAGCTTTGGTTAACCTGCAATCATCTTTTAATTACTGTGGATAATTTTGCTATTTTAATTAAATTAACCTTTAAAACCATAGAATAAATACAAATATTCTATAATTAGTACTATTTGGTTTTGAAGACCACAAATTTGAAATTTTCAAAATTGATCGACTTAGAAAGGCCTTTCTATAAAAAAAAAATTACTAAAATATGTTGGTAAGTTTAAACCGATTGTAAGCAAAATACACATAGCAAAATTTGTGTTATTTTTAGGTTTTTTGAGATCAAGAATTTTTGAGACTATAAAGTATTTTACCGTTTTACAATCCTGATTAAATTTTCTGATGAAGCATGCTAACAAATAAAAAATTTTTGTTTTTTTATTTTAAGGAGGACCTTTCAAAGTCGAGCAATGTTAAAAAATTTTAAATTCATAGTTAACAAATTCTTAACATTCTTAAATACTTGGAGCAAATATGTGCTTTATTGTGGTTCTACAAATGTTATTTACAGTTCCAAAGTTTAAAGAAAGATAAATAATCAAAGTTGAACAGATTAACGGAAAATGATCATAGTTTTTGAAATATATTTTTGATTTTAAAAGCTCTGGGTTACACATAAAAGCTCATAATTTTCAAACGACATAAAATATTTTTTTCTAATTTTTTTCATCATAGTTAAGACCAGTACATCAGTGGGTCTGGTGGCACTTCATTACTAGGCAAAAATAAATATTAATATAAGAATTCGAATCTAAGTTAGAATAAA